CCCCAAAACCCCAAAACCCCAAAACCCCAAAACCCCAGCAAATTTAATAAATTACCCTTTTATAGTTTTTGAGAATAAGAATTATGTCAGGCCAAATTTCCAAGGAGGATCTAGAATGCATAGTCTGCACTGAAGTTCCTATTGAAGTTAAGGAAACACCGTGTTGTGGAGTCATCATTTGTGGCAACTGTGGGCCTAAACTTAAGCAGTGTCCGAATAGATGATCTGAAGATCCTATATCTTTACAGAAGAATATGTTCCTTCAAAGAATGGTAAATCAGATGCCTTCTGAGTGCGAATACTGTCAGAAGGAGGTCCACAGGAAGGCGCTGATCGCTCATCATTCTGTATGTCCAAAGAATCTATTGAGGGATGTAATAATCAATGAAGCTCTCCACTGTTGTCCTCTATATAAGCAAGAGAAGCTAAATACATGGTTTTGAGATGGTTCAAAAATGGTAGAAGGCTTCTGTGCCAAAACAGGCAGATCTAAAAGGGACAATGAAGGCGGTCCTTCCTGGTTCTGTGAGAAATGAGATGTTGACTTTTGTCCCGGATGTATTGAGAAGTATGGGTCTGAAGAAGAATATAAAGAGCATATAAAGTTCTTTCCAAAGGAAATTGCCCATTTAGCTCATGATCATAAGCTAACATTTATTTTTGGGGAAGATCTGCCAGAACAAGCAAAACTTCATTGATATGGTAAATATAAGAGAGGAGGATGTGCTGGAACTGAACATGAGGATAAGAGATTTTTTGCTTGATTTGATTGAAAACTTTTAATCTGCGAGTACTGATTTGTTGCTCCAATCGAAGAATATATGATATCTGTGTCTAGTGAATATCATCATCACCCTCTTCATTTAGCTGCTTTCTCTCCAATAGAGAAATGGGAGTGCCAAAATGCCGGAGGTAGGAATTGAGTGTTAATATTTATAGAAAAATGTCTGAAACCATCAATGATGAGCAACTTTAATTGCAAAGTTGGCTATAAATGAGATATGTGCAAGTTTTACAGTTGTGTTGAATGTGCGAAATCAAAGCTAGTTAAGTTGTAATCCTTTCAACTTTTTAAAGTAATATAGGGGTTTTGGGGTTTTGGGGTTTTGGGGTTTTGGGGTTTTGGGGTTTTGGGG